GCGACGGCCTGAGCGGGGCGGGGAGCAGCTCGCTGAGCACCCCGAGGCCCTTCCCCCAAGCCAGGGACAGCCTCGCGACCGCCCCGCGCGGAGGAGCGGCGTCCAGCAGGTAGCGGCCCACCTAGAGGGCGGGGAAGTGCCGCCAGCGCGGCGCCCCGCGGGGCCGCCGCCGCGCCCGGGGGACCCTGCAGCCCCCCCCGGCTGCCTTGTAGGGGCGAGGAGTGGCTGGCCGCAGTTACGACAGGCGGAGGGCGGGGAAGTGCCGCCAGCGCCGCGCCCCGCGGGGCCACCGCCGCGCGCGGTGGCGAGGGGCGCGTGGGCCTGCCTCGGACGCGCGCGGGAGCGCGGCGGGCGCGGCCGCGTAGCCGTGCACGAGACATCTGGGGCCCTGGCGGTCGTAAGCTTGCTGACGGCCGCCAGGGCTTCTCTGATGTCCCATCCATCCTCGTCCTCCTCCTGCTCCTCCCCTGCCCCTCTCCCCCCGACGAGCGAGACCGACGAGAACGGCGACGAAAGCGATGGCGGCGACGACGCAAACGACGACGATGAGGTCCTTCTCGAAGACGAGGTCGGCGGCGAAAGTCGACGCTCCCCACCGCCGCCGCCGTCGCCGCCCACCGCGGGGCCGCGGGGCCGTCGCCGCCCGCCAGCCCGCGGAGGCCAGCAGCCCGGGCGGCTCCGCTGCACCCTTCTCGCCGAGGCCTGGCGTGGAGCAGGTGGAGGCGCCCGCCCGCCGCGGCTTTGGGGCAGTGCCACGGGGGTGCCGCCACCACACCACATCCTGGCGGGATCAGGAAGGGAGGAGAGGGCTTAGAGGAGGATGAGGAGGAGGAGGAGGAGGAGGAGGAGGAGGAGGAGGAAGAAGAGGAGGAGGAGGAGGAGGAGGAAGAGGAGAAGGAGGAGGAGGAGGAAGAAAAGGAGGAGGCGGAGGAGGAGGAGGAGGAGGAGGAGGAGGAGGAGGAGGAGGAGGAGGAGGAGGAAGGCGCCGCGCGCCCGAGCCCACCTCATTCGCACAGGGCGAACGGGCGGCGCCCAGGCGTGGCATCCGGCAATGGCGGCCGCGGAGCCCGCGATGCATTCTGCTGCTGCTGCTGCTGCTGCTGCTGCTGCTGCCGCTGCTACTGCTGCTGCCCGGGAGATCCACAATCCTGCCCATCGTTTCGCCATCAATATGTTGCTTGGGGCCGGGTGGCGTACGCTTTTCGCAATGAGCAGCCGCCGTCGGGACCAAATGTGGTGCTGGTGGCGGCTACCGGCAGCGCGGGCCATGGCACTGGCCCGACCCATCACATGCGGCACAACAGCGGGTTTGGTGACCTGCTGGCACAAGCGATGTGTATTTCACCGACCGGGTCATAGACTCTTAGACCTTTGGAACATGCTTCGCTCCCCGCCTGCCGCATGCCGCGGGCGCCCCGCGGATGCTCCGCCTTCAGCGCCGCCAGGACGCTGGGCAGCCATGCTGACGCCACTGTAGAGGGAGGCGCACAAGTTCACACCAGGCCAGCTCCAATGCTGGGGCGAAGGGGGCCCACCGCCTGCCGCTCTCCCGCCGGCCTGTGTTGACGGCCCCGCGCATGCTGCTGACGGCTAGGCGCCCCCCTGGCCGAGCAGAAGTCGGAACCCTGGGGCCGCGGCAGTGCCGACCGCGACGGAGCCCTCTCGCCAGGCGGAGCCAGGCGAGGCGAGCGCCCTGCGCCTGGCGGAGGCCCGCTTCGCCGTGGCCGAGCGCCGCGCCGAGGCCCGGCACCAGGCGGCCCGCCAGCGCCAGACGGAGGCCCAGCTCGAGGCTCTGGCCGAGAGCCAGGCGCAGCTGGCGGAAGGCGAACGCCGCGCGGCGGCTCACCACGAGGCAGAGGCCCAGCGGCAGGTTGCGGCCAGCCGCTGGGCGGAGGCCGGGAGGAGGAGGGCAGTGCCGAAGGAGGGTCCTTCTCCGTCGCCGCAGCCCTCCCATCGAGGACCGTGCCGCGCCACCGTCTGCGCCAACTTCATGGACCCGCACCCCGTCGACACCGTCGCCAGCTCCACCAACTCTGGCGCCAACGCCGTCCCAACGTCTCCGCCGACACGGCCGCCAGCCCTTCCAACCCCAGTGCCGACTCCAAGCCTTCCAACACCAGCGCCGACGCCAACACCGACGAGTAAAATGACTACGGTGACGAGGGGGCGGCGACGGCGACAGGGGGGGGTCCCAGGGGGAGAAAGTTCGACTGGGTCCTCGTATAGTATAACCCTCCTCCCGGGCTCCGCCGTCTCCGCGGCCGCCACGGGGGGCTCCCATGGCCCCCCCCCTCCATCGCCCACTTTGCTAACCGTAGAGGGGAGCAGACCACCATCACAGGCAAGCACATCGTACTGAACCCGCACCGTGAAATGTTGCACGTGCATGACTGCAGCAACTCTTGCTTCCAGTGCGTTGCACCGCACCGCGCCATCAAACTTGAAGGCAACATGTTGCCAGCTGTCCCTGCGAACTCGACAGCGCTGGCCCGGACATTATCCTTTGATTCAAGTGTGTTGCATCGTATCATGTAGCAGGAGACTGGCATGGGTGCGTGGAGGAAGAGGATCAGAGGTGCTGGAGGAGGAGCACCAGCCTCTGCAGGGGGGACCTGATAGAAGGCCCCCACCAACCTCATAGTTTGTTCTCGCAGCCTCCACCCCCATCCCCCAAGCGATGCTTGGGAAAAGGCTCGGGGCGGGGGCTTGGGCCACCGGGCCTCTCGCATCGCACGCCTGCTGCCGCCCTGTGGTACGCGGCGGGTGGGGGGGCGGGGGGGGGTGATTGGCGGAGGAGGGGTACGGAAGCCTGTGGTCAGAGCACAGCATCATTCCATAAGGCACCAGTTATCCGGTGACCCCCCCCAGCGCCCCTCCCCAATGGCCCACCTTTTTGGGACCTGTCCAGGTCGGCTCTCCGTCCGGAGTTTGTGGGGGGGGGGTGCTTCGTGTTTTCATTTGTTTGCTAGGACCTCTCCCTCCTCTTGCCCGCTCTTCCTCGTCGTGCCTCCTGCTCTCGTTCTTCTCCTTGCCTCTCTCGCTCCTCCTTCTGCTGCTGTGTCCTCCCGTGTCGTCCCCGTCCTCATTCTCCCTCCACCCTGGGGTCGCCCCCCATTTGATTGTGATGCCAGCCTCTTTCTACAGTGCCCGCCCACCGTTAGCGATGCTTTGCTTCTGGGGCGAGGAGTGGCGGGGGCGAGGGCAGCTCCTGACAAGGATCAACTATCCGCAGTCCTGAGACCTGAGGAGGAGGAGGCGGAGGAGGAGGAGGCGGCGGATGAGGATGAGGAGGAGGAGGACGAGGACGGGGAGGACGAGGAGGAGGAGGAGGAGGAGGCGTTGCCGATGCCGTATCTCGTCCTGGAGGGCCCTCGTCGCCACGGCTGCATCTGCGTCGAAACTCTGCTCAGAATGCATCCTTGTTGAAGTCCAGTGAGCAGCGGTATCGGTATCTTTGGGCTCCCGCCAGCGATGAGTAGTTTTCCATGGTTTCTCTTGCTTTTGCATCCGTGCCTCGTTCCATTCCAGCCAGCCCTTGGCAGTGGGCCACTTTATGATATGGGGTTCTTAGCTTCGGGCTTAATGTGGGGGTTGCATGTGCTTGCGTAACCACCGTGCGTCCTTGAGATCTGGTCGCTCCAGAGGTCGAATTTGAACACACACACACACTTTCTGAGGTCCGTGCAGACTTCTTGTGGCGGCGCTGGATCCCCTCTGGCACAATTCGCGCGCCTCTCGTATGAGCCTTTTATTCAAATCTCACCGCATTGTCGAAGCTTGCCAAACCATCCACTGCGACCGGCCGGTCCTGAGTGCTTGCCAGTCGCTCTGGATTGGAGTCCTGCGCGATAGCTGCCACGACAGCTGTTCTTTCGTGCATGGATCGGGGTGGCAAAGAGGACGTGGCCACCAGAGGGATACATGCGCAAACTTTCTAGAAGTCCTCCCAGCCCTTCCCCCTTCCTTCTCCTGGCCCCTTGACACGAATGCCCCTGGACATAGCAGCTTCTCGTGCGCAATCCGCCTATCTCCGTGCAGCCAGGCCGCGCAACACCCAGGAAAACCAAGCCCTGCCTGTGACCACCCTGACCCCCGGACATCCCGGGAGGTACGGGCCCCCGATGTCCCTGGAGTTCCCGAGGTGTTCTTTCGCGGGCCCGAGAAGGGCCCGAATCCTCCAAATGCTTGATTATCGAGGGCAAGAATTTGGATGATGATGATGATGATGATGATGATGATGATGATGATGATGATGATGCTGATGATGATGATGATGATGATGATGATGCTGATCATGATGATGACGATGATGAAGACAATATGGCTATGATGATGCTGCGCCTTAAGAATATGATGATGCTGGTGATAGTGATAGTGATTGTGATGGGGATGATGAGGATGACCTGATGATATTTGGATGTTGACGATGATTATGATGATGATGATGATGATGATGATGATGGTGACGATGCTGATTATGCTTATGATGATGATGATGATGATGATGATGATGATGATGATGATGATGATGATGATGATGATGATGATGATGATGATGATGATGATGATACTGATGATGCTGACGCTGATGATGCTGATGATGCTGATGGTGATTAAGATAGTGATGGTGGTGATGATGATGCTGGTGATGATGATGAGGAGGAGGAGGAGGCGGAGGAGGAGGAGGAGGGCCCCCCGCGGGTTCGGTGGCTCGGCGCAGTGGCGCCCTCTCACGCTCCTGGTTGCCCGGGAGAGCGAGCCGCACCCCTGCACAGAGATCCTCACCGCCGCCGCCACAGCCGCTGGCGCCGTCGCCGTCGCCTCCGCGTCGCCGTCGCCACTGTCGACGTCGCCGTCGCTGCCGCCGCCGCCGCCGCCGACACCGCCGCCGCCGTCGCCAACGCAGCCGCCGCCCTCGTGGCCGCCGCCTTCGCCAACGCCCCCGCCGGGGCCTCGCAGGCCCGCAGGCTCAAAGAAACTCGCCCCCCGCCTGGCGGGGCATGGCGCGGGCCCCCGTGGCGCCGCCGCCAGCGCGGCCGCGGCGGGGGCTCCTCGCGCTCCTCCTCGGCGATCGGGGGGGAGGGAGGCATAAGAGTCGCAGGCGAGCTCTCGGCCCCACTCCCGGAGTTACCCCCCCATAGACTGGCCGCTCAGAAAAGAGGGGAAGCTCGGGGATGCACCCCACTGGGATAGTCGGACGCACCGCCATCGAGGGTGGACGTCCCCCTCTTACCGTGTACCGTTGCCGTGTGCCTCCCAGTTTGGCACCAGTTTTGCAGCCCAGCCGAAAGTCCCACAACGTCGGGGAGTGGGGTCGTCATGCCCTCCGTCAGAAGAAGATAATCACCCTGGCATCGCTCGGACGTGTGCATTTTTTCCTTGGCGAGGACCCTCGGGGAGCACCCTGGATCATCGAGCGAAAAAACACGCCCGAAACCGAAACGTGCACGGGGAATGGGCGTCCGAGCGATGGCCAGTCACCCCTGCTCCACGGACCCATTGTTGCGCTCCGACCAAGGCTCTGGCGCGCAGTTGGCCGTGCCGACGAGCCATCCCCCCCTCCCCAGGACCTCCGACGGCGCGGTCTTTCCACAACGTGGGCCTCTAGAGGTCTGGACTTTCTGGATTGAACCCGATGGAATCGGTTTCTCATCCCGAGTCGTTTCTTGACGGCCCTGGGGCCTGGTACGGGCCCCCGGAGGCCGAAACCGTCCAACAGCGGTCCGTGGTGATTTCTTGACAGCGCGAGGAGGTCTGGGAGGCCCAAGTATGACCATCGGCATAATTCCTTTTCCTCCATGCCCAGACATCAGAGGTGCCGACCCCTTCCCAGTGGTCCAGTGTTTCGCCCCGGATCCATGTTTGCTTGGGCCCGCTAGCGGGCCGAAGTCTAGGAAAACGCCCGGATTGAACAGACCATGCGTAGCGTCGTGCCTTCGTGTGCGTATGTGTGCGTGTGTCTGATGTGTGTGCAGGTGATACTGAGAGGGACGTGATGGGAGGTGAGTGAGACGCGGGTGCGATGGGAAGAACGCCAGAAACCCACTGAACATGTGGGGGAGCCCCTCGTCGGAGATCTGGGTGAGGCGTGGCGCGGGCTGCGGACCTGGCGCCGCGGCCCAGCCAACGGAGCCTGGCGGTGGATGCCGACGCCTCGGTGCGACCGGTCGCAGCGCCAGCGGGCGAGCGCGCCGGCGGGTTGGCGGACGCCGGGCGGCCGGCCAGGCAGATGCGCCGGGAGCTTCCCGATGCGCCGCGTGGGTCGGAGGCAGAGCCGCTCTCGGGGTTGAATTGCCTCAGAAGAGTATGCTACAAGCAGCAAGGCGCGGCTACTTGGGCGAGAGCACGATTCCTGAGCGCATTTTGAGGAAGTCGCAGGCAAAACGGCTGCCAGACCTGGAGATCTACGGCTCCCCGTCCCCTTTGCGGGACTCATGTTTTTTCCCAACCATCCTGTGGTGTTGGGTCCTCGTTTTGAAGAGACGTCGCCCCGCGTTCTCCTCTCCTCTCCTCTCCTCTCCTCTCCTCTCTCTCCTCTCCTCTCCTCTCCTCTCCTCTCCTCTCCTCTCCTCTCCTCCTCCTCTCCTCTCCTCTCCTCTCCTCTCCTCTCCTCCTCCCCCTCCTCCCTCCTCCCACCACCCCACGTCCCGCACACCCAATTCGGCACACCCCTCACGCGTTTCGTGGCCCCATAGGGAGCTCCACCGAAGGCCCCAGTGCTGCCGCCCGCATGCGTCCCGCCCACCCAATTCGGCACACCCCTCACGCGTTTCGTGGCCCCATACGGAGCTCCACCGAAGGCCCCAGTGCTGCCGCCCGCATGCGTCCCGCCCACCCAATTCGGCACTCCCCTCACGCGTTTCGTGGCCCCATAGGGAGCTCCACCGAAGGCCTCAGTGCTGCCGCCCGCATGCGTCCCGCACGCCCAATTCGGCTCACCCCTCACGCGTTTCGTGGCCCGATAGGGAGCTCCACCGAAGGCCCCAGTGCTGCCGCCCGCACGCGTCACGCACATTCAATTCGGCACACCTCTCACGCGCTTCGTGGCCCCATAGGGAGCTCCACCGAAAGCCTCAGTGCTGCCGCCCGCATGCGTCCCGCACACTTATTCGGCACACCCCTCACACGTTTCGCTGCCCCATAGGGAGCTCCACCGGAGGTCCCAGTCGGTGTGCCCGCATGCGTCCCGCCCACCCATTTCGGCACACCCCTCACGCGTTTCGTGGCCCCATAGGGAGCTCCACCGAAGGTCCCTGTGGGTGTGCCCGCATGCGTCCCGCACACCATTCAGTACACTCTGACGCGCTTCGTGGCCCCAAAGGGAGCTCCACCGAAGGTCCCAGTTGGTGTGCCTGCATGCGTCCCGCACACTCAATTCGGCACACCCTCACGCGTTTCGTGGCCCTATAGAGGCTCCACCGAAGGTCCCAGTGGGTGTGCCCGCATGCGTCCCGCACACCCATGTCGGCATACCCCTCACGCGCTTCGTGGCCGCATAGGGAGCTCCACCGAAGGCCCCAGTGGGTGTGCCCGCATGCGTCCCGCACACCCATGTCGGCACACCCCTCACGCGTTTCGTGACACCTCACACGTTTCGTGGTCCCATAGGGAGCTCCACCGAAGGCTCCAGTGGGTGTGTCCGCATGCGTCCCGCACACCCATTTCGGCACACCCCTCACGCGTTTCGTGGCCCCATAGGGAGCTCCACCGAAGGCTCCAGTGGGTGTGCCCGCATGCGTCCCGCACACTCATGTCGGCACACCCCTCACACGTTTCGTGGCCCCATAGAGAGCTCCACCGAAGGTCACAGTGGGTGTGCCCGCATGCGTCCCGCACACCCATTTCGGCACACCCCTCACACGTTTTGTGGCCCCACAGGGAGCTCCACCGAAGGTCCCAGTGGGTGTGCCCGCATGCGTCCCGCACACCCATTTCGGCACACCCCTCACACATTTCGTTGCCCCATAGGGAGCTCCACCGAAGGTCCCAGTTGGTGTGCCCGCATGCGTCCCGCACACCCATTTCGGCACACCCCTCACACGATTCGTGGCCCCATAGGGAGCTCCACCGGAGGTCCCAGTGGGTGTGCCCGCATGCGTCCCGAAAACCCATTCCGCATACCCCTCACACGTTTCGTGGCCCCATACGGAGCTCCACCGGAGGTCCCAGTGGGTGTGCCCGCATGCGTCCCGCACACCCATTGCGGCACACCCCTCACACGTTTCGTGGCCCCATAGGGAGCTCCACCGAAGGTCCCAGTGGGTGTGCCCGCACGCGTCCCGCACACCCATTTCGGCACACCCCTCACACGTTTCGTGGCCCCATAGGGAGCTCCACCGAAGGTCCCAGTGGGTGTGCCCGCATGCGTCCCGCACACCCATTTCCGGACACCCCTCACACGTTTTGTGGTCCCGTAGGGAGCTCCACCGAAGGTCCCAGTGGGGTGTGCATGCGTCCCGCACACCCATTTCGGCACACCTCTCACGCGCTTCGTGGCCCCATAGGGAGCGCCACCGAAGAAGATATTCACAATTGCGGTGCTCACAATTGCATATGGTTGGGTCCTTCGCCAGGATACTTTTTTTGTGCCACGATCGGAACCTTCCAGCGAAACGCCATTCGGGAAAAAGGGTCTGGTCAGCGTTCGGGTCAGTCGAGTCCCTTCAGGTTGCACCCGTGTGGCCCGAGTGCTGGCCTAATTCGATTTGACTATTGAGGCGTCAGTTTCACGACTCATTGGTTAGGTCAGTGCTCGGGCGGCTCTGGCGGAGCCGTTTCTTCTTTTCGCCGGCCTCCCCCAAGGGTCTGAGTAGATTAGATGGGGACGGCTGATCGCGACGCATCGCCGATGCATTGCCATGCGGCTCGACGTGGAGTTATATTTTCTTCACGCAGGCGGCGCCGATGCATCGGCGATGCGTCGGTGATGCGGCGCGATCGTCCAACCCCTTCTACTCGGACACCATTCGGGATGTCTTTATTTTCACCCCCTCCCCAGATCTCCCACGACCTGTTGTTTGCACTCCAGGTGTTTTTTGCATAGAGGTCGACCTCTGGGGCCCGTTCTTCCCTCGCGTGCCTACAGCTGTTTCCTGAGAGAGACAAGGTGACGGGGTGCATGCCTGCTGCGTCGAATTGCTTTTCTTTTCGGGCTGGCAGAAAAAGTTGGGCGGAGGCAGAGCTGCAGGCGCAGCAGAGGTGGCAAGAGGGTTCGCTGGCCGAGGCATCGGGTGATCTCCACCATGCTACGGATGTCGTGATCGGCGTTTGGGGGGTGCAGCGCGCCTGGCTTGGTGAGGTCTGGGACCTCGGAGGGGCCCCAGGCCTCCTTTTTGAAGACAGATTTCCGAGCGCACATGTTGGCCAGGGGGAGGTCCTTGCCTTGGGTCTGGGCGAGCTTGCTGTTCCAAGCATCATCTTTTGGAGGCCTTATCGTCCCAGCAGTGCTTTGCCGACTGTTTACCCCCGCGCGCACATGATGGCGAGGGGGAGGTCCCTGCATTGGGGCTGGGCGAGCCTGCTGTCCCAGGATTCATCTTTTCGGAGGCCATTTCCTCCCTGCAGTGCTTTGCCCCAGCATGGCAGCATCATTAGCAGCACGAGCATGGAAAGCATCATCCGCAAAATCAGAATCAGCGGCGGCAGTGGCAGGCACCAGGGACTGGCATGCGCCTCGCGTTCGTGACGGACTGCAGCTCCCACCAGAGGTGGATGGCGATGCTGCTGCTGCACAGCGCCGGCCGCGTGGGCCAGGGCGACCCCATCACCTGGCTGCGGTGGGGCTGCGAACCCGACAGGACGCGGTCGCGAGAGGACGAGGTGCGGCTGCTGCGGCGGGTGTACCCTGCCGCCAGCCTGCTGGACGTCGGCGGGCGTGGCGCGCTCGCGCCGCTCGACGACAGCGCCGCGGCCGTGCTCCGGCGGGACATCACATGGATCAAGCCCTTCGCGTTCCAGGCTTTCCTGGCGAGCCCCGAGATCCCGAACGGCACGGCGGTGGCGATGCTGGACGCCGACTTCATATTCCTGTCCAGGCTCCGCGTCGACGACCTGGCCGAACGGAGCATCAGGACGGTGGGCGAGGACTCCGCGGAGGGGCCCGCACGGGTGGAGGGCCTCCGCGGCGTGGTGCAGCACTACGCGTGCTGCCGCAACGCCGGCGCCCCGTACATCTTCACTGCCGGCGCCTGGCGCGCGCTGCTCCCGGCGTACGCGTCGCTGGCGGGCCGTGCCACCGGGAGCTGGGGCGAGGAGCAGGAGGCGTTCGCGACCGCGGCCGCCGGCGCGGGGGTGGGCTTCAGCGTGTTTGACCACTTCATGGTCTCCGACCTGGACGCGAAGGATCTGGATGAGAATGCACGCACACACTTTGTCTGTCAGCGGCGTCGTGGGGCACGAAGCGTCGAGCAGCACTAGCCGTGGGGCCCGGGAGAGCTCACTGCGCACTGAAGCTAAAACGAAAAGCAGGAGAGCGGCCGCGAAGGACGGCGAAGAAGGGCGCTGCGCCCCGAGCAGGCAGCACTTCACGCGCGGTGCAGGCGGCCTCAGGCTCCAACAGGAGTCGTGCGTCGGGCGAGGTGGCCACAGGCTGGAGGAGCACTCCAGAGCACACCGGAGCCAGTACAGACCAGGTGCATGCGGAAAGCGCACACACACCATCACCGAGCCTCCCGCAAGCAGACCCAGTCTCTCGGACCTGGTCTCGTGGCCCCCTCGGCCCTGGCTTGGGGCCAGCACACCCCGGAGTCTGGGCCCACGGCCCCACGACGGGCTTGTGGAGGCCCGGAGCCTGGTGGTGGTGGTTACTCCGCTACTCCGCCGTCGTCAAGACCGCAGCCAGCCTCAAACGACAGGAGGCCCCGACGCGCCAGCCACGCGCCGCAAAGAGCGGAAGCCACCGCAATAGCAACCAGAAGCTGTCCTGTGGGCGTACAGTCAAGACGCTGAAATAAGGAACAGTTTGGGTTCGGAAGGGGCTCGATATTCCTGAAGTTCCTCCAGTGCTGTTCCTCTTGCCCACCTGGGGCACGGAGGCGCTTACAGGGCCAAGACGGGGCTTCGTTCCTCATTTAGCGTTCCTTCTTTCAGCAGCCCGACTGTAGCCGAAATTCGGGCCACCGATTCTTTGTCGGAAGCCCCAGGCTGTAAAGGAGCGGCATCCCTTCCGTGTGAAACACGACTCGCAGAAGCGCTAAAATCGTGAAACCTGGTCGGAAGGAGGAGCGAGGAGGACGAGGAAGACAGGGAGGAGAGGAGGCCGAGCGAGTGGGGAAGTCCCAGCAGGGAAGCACATAGCTACGAGATGGCATGGTCGAGTTACGATGCGAAGGTGGTTACGCCTCACCGGCTGGTCAGCGCAAGCGTCCCGACGAAGTCCGGGTTGCGACACTTCGGCCGCAGTTCCCAGGGAACGCGCCGTTACGACAGGTGCTGCCTAATAAGCCCACGGGGGAGGAGAGGGGCGAGGAGGAGGAAGCAGGAAGGCAGGGAAGTCGTGAAAATCAACCTCGCAACCGCCAGCCCGTTAGGGCGCGCTGGCCGCGTTGTGGCTCACCCCCACTCTTCGTCGACGTGCCGCTGCACAGCGACGACTGCTGCCCGCCATTCCGCCTTGCCTCTATGCACCCGGGCCCACCGCCGCGCGAGCCTCGCAGCGCAGCCCCTGGCGCTCATGCCGCCCTGCTGCCCGAAGACCGCCGGCTGGAAAGCTAGCACCTGGGCGCGGCAGCGCTCCTCCGTCGGGCGGCGAGCCCACCCCCTCACGCGATCCGAGCCTACGCTCGCCGAGCCTACCCCCTCACACGATCCAGCCCTCCCACGGCTAGCGCCGGACAGGCCCCCTATACTCTCGACGCGATCCCCCTTTCCCTCGCTTCTGGAGCATCTCGAAGTACTGCCCCTTCCCCCAGAGGAGGCGGAGGGCTGGCGCTGGGTCGAAGAGTGCCTCGGGGCCGCCGAGGCCAGCGGCAGCAGTTGCGGCCCTGCGGGGCCGCGGGCAGCCGGCGTCGGGGCGCCCGCGCCGCGCCTGCCGACCTTCCTCCACATGGTGCGCCCGGTGAACCCCGAGGGCGGCAAGGCGACCTGGCAGTTCAGCAAGTACCAGGTCCAGGGGCGGAAGGAGGGACGGTGGTCGGAGGGCGCCTGCCATCGACAAAAGAGAGCAAGCTGCAGAAACATACCATTTTCGGAGGCCCGCGCGTGTTGGATCGGCGTTTCTCTCTCTCCCCCCCCTCGACGGGGGGGAGAGCGGTTGGAGGCCATCTAAGGCCGTCCTGAGAACCATCGTGCGAAATCGTGTCCGTCTTGGAGGCAGATTTTCTGGCCATGCTGGAAGGTCGTGACACGCCTTTCTGGATGGCTGGCGGGTCGGGCCGAAAGCAGATGAGAACATTGTCGAAGGGCCAACAAGTGTTAAACATCTGGCACGCCAAGCTCGGATTCAGCGGGCAATCCCGTCATTGTGCTTGCGTTGGCCAGAGGCCTCTGAAAGACCTCCTGGGGTCATTTGGAAGGCTCCTGAAAACTTATTGAAGGCTTCTTTGGGGCGTCTCGAGGGCCTCTTGGAGGCCTCTTGAGCCTCCTGCGGATCTCTTGAGGCCTCTGGGGGCTTCTTGGGTTCATCTTGGGGGCCAGGAGAAGGTGTCATCTTAGGGTGGGATGGCCTCACATGACAGGTCGTGTTCCCCCTCTCCTCTCCTCTCCTCTCCTCTCCTCTCCTCTCCTCTCCTCTCCTCTCCTCTCCTCTCCTCTCCTCTCCTCTCCTCCTCCCCTCCTCTCCTCTCCTCCTCTCCTCTTCACCCACCCAGTACACCGCTTCGTGGCTCCATAGGGAGCTCCACCGAAGGCCCCAGTGCCCGCGCCCGCATGCGTCACCCACACCCATTTCGGCACACCCCTCACACGTTTCGTGGCTCCATAGGGAGCTCCACCGAAGGCCCCAGTGCCCGCGCCCGCATGCGTCACCCACACCCATTTCGGCACACCCCTCACACGTTTCGTGGCTCCATAGGGAGCTCCACCGAAGGCCCCAGTGCCCGCGCCCGCATGCGTCACCCACACCCATTTCGGCACACCCCTCACACGTTTCGTGGCTCCATAGGGAGCTCCACCGAAGGCCCCAGTGCCCGCGCCGCATGCGTCACCCACACCCATTTCGGCACACCCCTCACACGTTTCGTGGCTCCATTCGCATGCGCGCCTAGGGAGCTCCACCGAAGGCCCCAGTGCCCGCGCCCGCATGCGTCACCCACACCCATTTCGGCACACCCCTCACACGTTTCGTGGCTCCATAGGGAGCTCCACCGAAGGCCCCAGTGCTGCCGCCCGCATGCGTCACCCACATCCAATTCGGCACACCCCTCACACGTTTCGTGGCCCCATAGGAGCTCCGCCGAAGGCCCAGTGCTGCCGCCCGCATGCGTCACCCACACACAATTCGGCACACCCCTCACACGTTTCGTGGCCCCATAGTAGAAGCTCCGCCGAAGGCCCCAGTGCTGCCGCCCGCATGCGTCACCCACACCCATTCGGCACACCCCTCACACGTTTCGTGGCCCCATAGAGCTCCACCGAAGGCCCCAGTGCTGCCGCCCGCATGCGTCACCCACACCCAATTCGGCACACCCCTCACACGTTTCGTGGCCCCATAGGGAGCCCCGCCGAAGGCCCCAGTGCTGCCGCCCGCATGCGTCACCCACACCCAATTCGGGCACACCCCTCACACGCTTCGTGGCCCCTGCCGCCCGCATGCGTCACCCACACACAATTCGGCACACCCTCACACGTTTCGTGGCCCCATAGGGAGCTCCGCCGAAGGCCTCAGTGCTGCCGCCCGCATGCGTCACCCACACCCAATTCGGCACACCCATCACACGTTTCGTTGCCCCATAGGAGCTCCGCCGCAGGCCCCAGTGCTGCCGCCCACATGCGTCACCCACACCCAATTCGGCACACCCATCACACGTTTCGTGGCCCCCTAGGAGTTCCGCCGAAGGCCCCAGTGCTGCCGCCCGCACGCGCCACCCCCACTCAATTCGGCACACCCCTCACACGTTCCGTGGCCCCATAGGAGCTGCGCCGAAGGCCCCAGCGTTGCCGCCCGCATGCGTCACCCACACACAATTCGGCACACCCCTATCACACGTTTCGTGGCCCCATATGAGCTCCCTCGAAGGCACCAGTGCTGCCGCCCGCATGCGTCACCCACACCCAATTCGGCACACCCCACCCACGTTTCGTGGCCCCATAGGATCTCCGCCGAAGGCACCAGTGCTGCCGCCCGCATGCGTCACACACGCCCAATTCGGCACACCCTTCACACGCTTCGTGGCCCCATAGGGAGCTCCGCCGAAGGCCCCAGTGCTGCCGCCCGCATGCGTCACCCACACCCAATTCGGCACACCCCTCACACGTTTCGTGGCCCCCTAGGAGTTCCGCCGAAGGCCCCAGTGCTGCCGCCCGCACGCGCCACCCCCACTCAATTCGGCACACCCCTCACACGTTCCGTGGCCCCATAAGCTCAATTCGCACGATACCAGTGCTGCCGCCCGCATGCGTCACCCACACCCAATTCGGCACACCCCACCCACGCTTCGTGGCCCCATAGGAGCTCCGCCGAAGGCACCAGTGCTGCCGCCCGCATGCGTCACGCACGCCCAATTCGGCACACCCTTCACACGCTTCGTGGTCCCATCGGGAGATCCACCGAAGGCCCCAGTGCTGCCGCCCGCATGCGTCACACACACCCAATTCGGCACACCCCTCACACGCTTAGTGGCCCCATAGGGAGCTCCGCCGAAGGCCCCAGCGCTGCCGCCCGCATGCGTCACGCACACCCAATTCGGCACACCCTCACACGTTTCGTGGCCCCAAAGGGAGCTCCGCCGAAGGCACCAGTGCTGCCGCCCGCATGCGTCACGCACACCCAATTCGGCACACCCCTCACACGCTTCGTACCCCCATAGGGAGCTCCACCGAAGGCCCCAGAGTGCTGCCGCCCGCATGCGTCCCGCACACGCGTTTCGGCACACCCCTCACGCGTTTCGTGGCCCCAGAGGGAATGCGTCCCGCACACTCATTTCGGCATGCTCTTCACACGTTTCGTGGCCCCATCGGGAGATCCACCGAAGGCCCCAGAGGGTGTGCCCGCATGCGTCCTGCACACTCATTTCGGCACACCCCTCACGCGTTTCGTGACACCTCACACGTTTCGTGGTCCCATAGGGAGCCCCACCGAAGGCCCCAATGGGTGTGCCCGCATGCGCCCCGCACACTCATTTTGGCACACCCCTTCGCACGTTTCGTGGCCCCGTAGAAGGGCTCCACCGAAAGTCACAATGCTGCCGCCCGCATGCGTCCCGCACACACATGTCGGCATACCCTTCACACGTTTCGTGGCCCCAAAGGGAGCTCCGCCGAAGGCCCCAGTGGGTGTGCCCGCATGCGCCCCGCACATTCACGCGTTTCGTGACCCCTCGCACGTTTTGTGGTCCCATAGGGAGCCCCGCCGAAGGCCCCAATGGGTGTGCCCGCATGAACCCCGCACGCACATTTCGGCACACCCCTCGCACGTTTCGTGGCCCCGTAGGGGGCTCCACCGAAGACGATATTCACAATTGCGATACTCACAATTGCACATGGTTGGGTCCCTCGCCAGGATAATTTTTTAATTGGACGTTATCTTAGCCCCAGTGCTGCCGCCCGCATGCGCCACCCACACCCAATTCGGCACACCCCTCACACGCTTCGTGGCCCCATAGGGAGCCCCGCCGAAGGCCCCAGTGCTGCCGCCCGCATGCGCCACGCACACTCAATTCGGCACACCCCTCACACGTTTCGTGGCCCGATAGGGAGCCCCACCGAAGGCCCCAGTGCTGCCGCCAGCATGCGTCACCCACACCCACTTCGGCCCACCACTCACACGTTTCGTGGCCCCTTGGGGAGCTCTACCGAAGGCCCCAGTGCTGCCGCCCGCATGCGCCACCCACACCCAATTCGGCACACCCCTCACACATTTCGTGGCCCCATACGGAGCCCCATCGAAGGCCCCAGCGCTGCCGCCCGCATGCGCCACCCACACCCAATTCGGCACACCCCTCACACGCTTCGTGGCCCCATAGGGAGCCCCACCGAAGGCCCCAATGCTGCCGCCCGCATGCGTCACCCACCCCAATTCGGCACACCCCTCACACGTTTCGTGGCCCCATAGGGGGCCCCACCGAAGGCACCAGTGCTGCCGCCTGCTCGCCCACACCCACTTCGGCACACCCTTCACACGTTTCGTGGCCCCATAGGGAGATCCACCGAAGGCCCCAGTGCTGCCGCCCGCATGCGTCACGCACACCCAATTCGGCACACCCCTCACACGTTTCGTGGCCCCATCGGGAGCCCCACGGAAGGCCCCAGTGCTGCAGCCTGCATGCGTCACCCACACCCACTTCGGCACACCCCTCACACGTTTCGCGGTCCCATAGGGGGCCCCACCGAAGGCACCAGTGCTGCCGCCCGCATGCCTCACCCACACCCAATTCGGCACACCCCTCACACGCTTCGTGGCCCCATAAGGAGCCCCACCGAAGGCCCCAGTCCCCATGGGGAGACCCGCCGAAGGCCCCAGTGCTGCCGCCCGCATGCGCCACGCACACCCAATTCGGCACACCCCTCACACGCTTCGTGGCCCCATAGGGAGCCCCACCGACGGCCCCAGTGTTGCCGCCCGCGTGCGTCACGCACACCAACTTCGGCCCACCCCTCACACGTTTCGTGGCCCCACAGGGAGCCCCGCCGAAGGCCGCCGTGCTGCCGCCTGCATGCGCCACGCACGCCCAATTCGGCACACCATTCACACGCTTCGTGGCCCCATCAGGAGCCCCACGCGTTTCGCGGCCCCATAGGGAGTTCCACCGAAGGCCCCAGTGCCGCCGCCAGCATGCGTCACCCACACCCACTTCGGCACACCCCTCACACGTTTCGTGGCCCCATAGGGAGCTCCACCGAAGGCCCCAGTGCCGCCGCCCGCATGCGCCACGCACACCCACTTCGGCACACCCATCACGCGCTTCGTGGCCCCATAGGGAGCTCCACCGAAGGCCCCAGCGCCGCCGC